GTTTGGCAGTTTCTGACCGCAGTTTTTTCCATTCATCTTGTCAGCAGCATCCGACCTGAACTTTAATCAGTGTAGCACCAGTATCCACGTGTTGCGCTGATTGCAAGACAGGGTCATTTATACCAAGCATAATGTGAATTGGGAAAAAACTACATTAGGGCCACTAAATTGAGCCGAAGATCTTAGAAAATAAATTAATCTTAGTATAAAAAGATACAATTTAAACATTTTAGAGGACACTGGAGGGAATTGGTAAATAAATGGGGATCTCATAGTAGCAATGATTACATTTATTTGATAATTCCCTCCAGCGTTCTCTAGCATTCTTACATTTATCTCTTCTTACTGAGTCAAATTTACACTATATTGCCAAAAGTATTGGGCCAGCCCTCCAAATCATTGGATTCAGGTGTTCCAATCACCTTCATGGCCACAAGTGTGGCACCTAGGCACACGGACTGCTTCCAAAAACATTGGTGAAAGAATGAGTCACTCTCAGGAGCTCAGTGAATTCAAGCGTGGTACCATGATAAGTTGCCACCTGTGCAATAAGTCCATCTGTGAAACTTCCTGGCTACTAAATATTCCACAGTCAACTGTTAGTGGGATTATAACAAAATGGAAGCAACTGGGAACAACAGCAACTCAACCACGAAGTGGTAGGCCATGTAAAATGACAGAGCGGGGTCAGCGCATGCTGAAGCGCACCGTGCTCCGAAGTCGCCAACTGTCTGCCGAGTCAGTAACTAAAGACCTCCAAAGTTTGTGTGGCCTTCAGATTAGCACAACAGTGCGTAGAGTGCTTCATCGACTGTGTATCTATGGCCGAGCAGCTGCCTCCAAGCCAGGGGCGGACTGACCATTTGGAAACACGGGCACTGCCCGAGGGCCCGGGGTCAGTAGGGGGCCCCATGAGATGCCCCTGGTACCTTTTTCATAGGCTTTTTTGAGTTAGGGCAAGGAGACACAGCCCCATGATCCCCTATTGCCCGGGGGCCCCATGAGTTGTCAGTCTGCCCCTGCTCCAAGCCTCACATCACCAAGTGCAATGCAAAGCGTTGGATGTAGTGGTGTAAAGCACACTACCACTGGACTCTAGAGCAGTGGAGACATGTTCTCTGGATTGACCAATCACACTTCTCTGTCTGGCAATCCGATGCACGTGTCTGGGTTTGGCGGTTGCCAGGAGAACAGTACTTGCCTGACTGCATTGTACCAAGTGTAAAGTTTGGTGAAGGGGGATTATTTTGTGGGGTTGTTTTTCAGAGGTCGGGCTTGGCCCCTTGGTTCCAGTGAAGGAAACTCTTAAGGCATCCGCATACCAAGACATTTTGGACAATTTCATGCTCCCAACTTTGTGGGAAGAGTTTGGGGATGGCCCCTTCCTGTTTCAACATCACTGCGCATCAGTGCACAAAGCAAGGTCCATAAAAACATGGATGAGCAAGTTTGGGTGGAGGAACTTGACTGGCCTGCACAGAGTCCTGACCTCAACCCCATAGAACACCTTTGGGATGAATTAGAGCGGAGACTGTGAGCCAGGCCTTCTCATCTGACATCAGTGCCTGACCTCACAAATGTGCTTATGGAAGAATGGTCAGACATTGCCATTGACACCCTCCTAAACCTTGTGGACGGCCTTCCCAGAAGAGTTGAAACTGTTATAGCTGCAAAGGGCGGGGCCAACGCAATATTGAACCCTACGGACTAAGACTGGGGGGCCATTAAAGTTCATGTGCGTGTAAAGCCAGGCGTCCCAATACTTTTGGCAATATAGTGTATTTCAGTTGAGTCTCAGCTCCATATAATGGTCATAATTTCCCAATTTTCTCTATGGTCTTTATGAATTAACCTATCTTTACTACTGCCCATTGAATAACATTCAAGAACATTTGATTTGCCATAGCAACTGGTTAATTCTAACAGAAGTGAACATGCAACTTTGCTAGATGATGCTCTGGTCTTTTTTTATCACCAAATGTTTACACCATTTCAAGATCAGCAAGATTCATTATATATTTCCTTCATGACAGGCAACCAAAGCCTGCTGCTCTCACCTAGTTGGTGCAGAAAGCCCATAAAAAGGCTTAAAAGCCTCACCTATAACCACTCCTCAGTGTTTTTCCTGTATCTTTAAGGATAGGAGATAGAAGTATTTTTCTCCAGACCTTTTTGTTTTATTTTTTCTGGGTTTCTAGGTTAAATCGTAGGGTTTTCTTATAATACTAGTAGCTGGCTGCTTCCTCAAGGCTGAGGGTACCAACAAAACTTACTGCTTACATGTAAGCTGTTACATATCTGAAATGGAGGCATTATACAAAATGGATGCCAGTTTAAAGACATATCTCCTTACACCGCCTCCCGGGTCTCTCGTCTCCTTGCCACTCCCAGCACTGGGCTGACAGGAATAGTGAAGCTGCAGTCGCTACTCCTGTCAGCCATGTAGTCAGAATGGTGACACCCCCCCATCCCTTCAGTGTACCACTGCACCAGGGGCCCACCCCTTGTCTCAGCCCTGGGTACATGTAGTACCGTGTCCTATGTAGCTGTGTTTTCTATGTCTAGTTATAAAGTCCAACTTGCCCCCTACCCTCTCCCCATGCAAATTCAACAACAGCTAGGAAGGAGATGGATCCACCATAACTACAGCTTGACTCAGCTCAGAGCACTGGCCCAGACAAGCTGTTGCAATAGGATTGCAAAGAGACAAGATGCTGACAGCAAAACCCCCCCCCTCATTTCTTTTGCCTCGGGAAAGTGCTGTTACATTTACTTTAATGATAATTCTGCGTTGAAGAACTACTATGCCCTACCCCCATTATTTTCCCCCCTGCGTAGCTAAAGTTGTGTTCTACACAATAAAGATATTCACTCAGCCACCCACAGGATTCAGCGTTGTCCTGCTGAGATCCACTTCTCACATCTTACCGCTTTGGTCCTGCACTGCTATCCTCTCCTGCGACATCATCTGGAGGTTGCTGGTTCTTCTGGGTTGAGGCACTGCGTCCCGATGACTCGCCACTAGGCCCACTCCCTCCTTTAACCACTTTCCGTCCACCAAATCCTTAGATGACGGGAGCGCGGTGGTTCTCTCGTTCTGGGAGGACGTCATATTTTTACAGCAAAAAAAAAAAAAAAACTCCTAGAAACCCACTAGTACTGGGCATTTTTTTCCAGCCAAAAAACGTTGATTACAGCTTTTCTGTGCATGGACACATAGGATAACATGCTGGGGAGTTTACTGGCTATAGAAAAACACGCCAAAAGCCAAAAACAGCTGTAAAAACGTCCATTGTGCATGAGGACTTATAGTGCATCCTTTTGACAAGTCCCTCCAAGGAGATCTTGTTGTCCCACTTCAATATCGTAAGTTACAATTTCCGGATGGATTTCAAAAGTATACTGGATACATAGTGGTAAATGACAGCCCACTCCCTCCCTCCTCCTTCATGCCCACTAACCAGCTTAATACAATTGAGGTGGGATATTACATTTTGATTGATGGAGGCTTCACCTCCCTGCTGTTCTAAGACACAGCAGGCGGGAGGAGCGTGACATAGCCTGTGACTGACAATTTAATAATATTATTATTTATTTATTTTTACTCTGTATTCCAAAGGCTCTTTTTAAATCTTGAATATATGACCAGCAGCAGAGGACAGAAAGTCCTCCTGCTTTTTTTTTTTTTCCTTGGGACATGTGACAGCCAAATATCAATTAGGAAAAAATGTACCATCATCCACATACAGAAAGAAAAAGGACAATGTAAATGAAACAGTGTGTGTTTAGTATCATTTTAAGTTGGTGAGAAGAATACTTTTTACACAGTTGGTCAGTGGGGAAGAATGCTCCTTACATTGGTGATCAGTGGGAAGAATGCTCCTTACAATGGTGGCCAGTGGGAAGAATGTCCCTTACATTGGTGGGAAGAATGCTCCTTACATTGGTGGGAAGAATGCTCCTTACAATGGTGGCCAGTGGGAAGAATGCTCCTTACATTGGTGGGAAAAATGCTCCTTACATTGGTGATCAGTGGGAAGAATGCTCCTTACGTTGGTGGCCAGTGGGAAGAATGCTCCTTACGTTGGTGGCCAGTGGGAAGAATGCTCCTTACGTTGGTGGCCAGTGGGAAGAATGCTCAAGGGTACTAATGAGCTGGGGATCTGCTGAGCTGGTGGTACTGCTGAGCTGGGGTTCTACTGGGCCCCCCTTTAAAACAAACAGAAAATCAACACACACACAGGGCATTTGCTAAGCTTCATTAAAGGTTCAAAAAAGCATCACAGAAGCATCAAAATCAGATCAAAAAGCACGTTGAAGCAGTAAGCTCCTTTAATGTGTGTTAAAGTCCAAGCAAGTCTAAACGAAGATAGTATGTGCAAGCAAAGCAGTAGAGAAATGAGCTCATCAGTCTACTGCTCTGTTTTCATTGTGTAGTAATTGGCTGGTGGAGGGACAAGACCTGTAAGTGTTACTGAAATGCTGCAGAGAAAAGTGAGGTCTCCTGCCCTATCAGAGAGGGGCTATGCTAAATCTACGGACTGGATAAAGAGAAAAAAATCCTTTTGTAGATGAAACCGCCCCCAAATGTTTAGTCTGACTAGAGTTCAGCTTACAATATCAATAATCAAAATTATGACAAATATTGTAAATTTGAATGTATTTATTTTTCCTTTTTTGCAGCCTTACGGGATGCATGTATCAAGTTGTCCAAAGTCCTGGGGCACAAGGAAAAAATGTCCTGCAACTCATTCCAGTCTTAAACACAAAGGATAACCCAGCTCCAGTTGTTTCTTCTCCTGTAATAACAAATACCCCCATGCTGAACGTACAACAGCCCGTCAGGTTGTCTCTGCCCTCACCTGTTTCCAATGTGACGATACCGTGCCCAGTGAATGCACAACTGGTACAGCAACTCGGTTCAACCAATTACATCATCACAACCCAGAAGAATCCTGCCGATGCTTCAAAAACCATCCGTGTTGACAACAAGCTTACGGCTCACCAAAACACAGCCGTCATACTGGAAAAACCTCCGTTGAATTTGCCACCAAACCCTCAAACGGGAACTCCGTCTTTCATAATCATGAATACAAAACCTGGATCTCTTCCAATGAAGACCATCCCAATTTTTCCGCCTGGTCATGGTCTTCAGATACCTGCTCACGCAGAAGTGAAATCCCTTCCTGCTTCTTCCCTGCCTTTCTCTATTCAGCAGAGGATTCTACCCCCGAACACAAGTAATGATACTAACAAGATCCCTTCTGTTATATACGTGTCTCCTGTGAATACCATGAAGACACCCACAATAACACCCACACCACAGTCTCCTCTGTTATCTCCAGTATTGGTTCCAGCCGTGCAGTCTGGTACAGCAACCCCTTCTAAAGGACCATTGAAGTGGGTCGTGCAGGAAAACACAGAATCCGTTGTTCCAGTAAAGACAAATACTGACACAGCATCAAAGATTCTAACATTTATGTCCGGAGCGAAGATCGAGGAACAGAATTTGCTCAGTCCCAATGTCGCAAAAATAAAAGACAGCGCTCTTGTGATGTGCAATAATAAAATTTATTTTTTGTCAAAAAGCACAGGTGAGCTTAAGAGCGCAGTCAATGTCAAACAGGAAACTTCTGAAAAAAATCCGTTCAATACGGAAAAAGGAAAAGATCTCGCCAATAAATTGGTTGAAGTGGTTTTGTCAAAAAATAATTTGCCCACTCTAACCACCAAACAAACAGTGAACTCTGGCAGCTCCCCGCTTGTTCATCCGGATGCCGCCAGTCCTGCAAAAAACAAAATATGCACACCCACTCAAGTCAGTAAAAAAGAGCCCGAGGTGATTTATATAGATGATGATGATGACGATGAGGACATTGCTGCCAACATCCAGAAACCTCAATCAAAGGAAACCACTTCCACCAAAGTATACACCCCTTCGGCATCACAGGGTTATGGTTTACAGAGTTCAGATAATCAGGTATATATATATATATATATATATATATATATATTAAATTTTTTTTTAATTATGTTGGTGCATGCATGTTCACTCATAGAGGAAGTGGTTGAATGTTTTTTCGTATAAAAAATAGTATGCCTGTCTGTCACTAACTATCCTTATCGATTTTTTTTATTTATTACAGCACCATCAATTTACTCAGTGATTTGCATATGTATTGTACATTCACATCAATCCCTGCCCTCAAGGAATTTACTATCTAAGACCCCTAATTCACATTCATACATACACATTGGGGCGATTTTAGACAGGAGCCAATTAACCTACGAGCATGTTTTTGAAGTATGGACTGGAGTACCTGGAGGAAATGCACACAGGTACAGGGAGAACATGCAGACTCCTGGCACTAAGAACTGACAACCCTAGCGCTGCTAGGCAGAAGTGCTAACCACTAGCATTAAAAAGTAAACCTTAATTATGTTTCAGCTTACAAATTCTTGGATGTGGTGGCTGTATTAGTTTTCTTTTTAAGACTTTCTCTCCTTACTTTCATCTGACGATCCTACCAGTAAGTCTATTGTATTTACACCTGTATATGTGTGAAAAAATTTGTCTAGCTCCCAGAAGAATTACACCTGGGGGGGTGTGATTTACCTGCTCCTGTGCACAAAAGAATGGCTAGTAATGCATATCCTTTTGTTTTTTTTTATTCACTGCTTTAAACACCGCGTTAGTTTATAGATATATTTACCTGTGTGTAAATGCCCATTGAAAGCAATCAGCAGGTTCAGACCAGTAGGTAAAAAAAGGCCTAAGCACGTGGTGTTTTTTGTGCCCATGTGCAAGAGTCTTTTAGAAGGGGTTTGGTGTTTCGTTGTTTAAGGGTTACTTCTACATTTCTGATTATAATTTCATGTTACCTCACCCCCCCACCCCATGTAGATACCATTCTGCTCCCCACCCCTCATCTGATTCCTGGGGTTCTTCACTGTATTTTCTTTAATCCTGTGTCGCGAGAGCATTACACCTCTGGCACATCGATAACGGTTACAATGCTTTAGACTCCAATGCAAATAATCAGTTAATGCACATTTTTTTTCTTTTGAAATACAGATGCAGTGTAGTGCTATATGCCTTTCAGCATAATCACTATAAAAATGACAGCTGGTGGCCGAGGGGCTGTAAAAACAGGCATTGGAGCTGCAGTTTTACCTATTGCTGAGCCGCAAGTTAACATAACCAGTGGCCATCTGAGTACACCTCACCACATTGAAAGTTTTATATACCTTGTTGAATTTAGCATACAGAACTGCTGCCATGCAGGGCCATCTTATTAGCATCAAGGGCCTTTGGGCAAAGTAATACAGTGGGACCCCTACCAGCCTGCCCCAATTTACACACCTACTCTCTAGAATTAAAGTATAAATAGTTTCTAGAATTAAGCATATACACTGCTCAAAAAAATTAAAGGAACGCTTTTTAATCAGAGTCTAGCATGAAGTCAATGAAACTCCTGGGATATTGATCTTGTCAGTTAAGTAGCAGAGGGGGTTCTTAATCCGTTTCAGCTGCTTTGGTGTTAATGACATTAACAACAGGTGAACTAGATGGGCAACAATGAGACAACCCCCAAAACAGGAATGGTTTTACAGGTGGAGGCCACTGATGTTTTTCCCTACTCATCTTTTCTGACAGTTTTTCACTAATTTTGCATTTGGCTAGGGTCAGTGTCACTACTGGTAGCATGAGGCCTTACCTGGACCCTACAGAGGTTGCACAGGCAGTCAAACTCCTCCAGGATGGCACAAATCAATACGTGCCATTGCCAGAAGGTTTGCTGTGTCTCCCAGCACAGTCTCAAGAGCATGGAGGAGATTCCAGGAGACAGGCAGTTATACTAGGAGAGCTGGACAGGGCCATAGAAGGTCCCTAACCCATCAGCAGGACCGGTATCTGCTCCTTTGTGCAAAGAGGAACAGGATGAGCACTGCCAGAGCCCTACAAAATGACCTCCAGCAAGCCACTGGTGTGAATGTCTCTGACCAAACAATCAGAAATAGACTTCATGAGGGTGGCCTGAGGGCCCGATGTCCTCTAGTGGGCCCTGTGCTCACTGCCCGGCTCCATAGAGGTTGATTGGCATTTGCCAGAATTGGCAAGTCTGCCACTGGTGCTCTGTGCTTTTCACAGATGAGAGCAGGTTCACCCTGAGCACATGTGACAGACGTGAAAGGGTCTGGAGAAGCCGTGGAGAACGTTCTGCTGCTTGTAACATTATTCAGCATGACCGTCTGGTGGTGGATCAGTGATGGTCTGGGGAGGCATATCCATGGAGGGACGCACAGACCTCTACAGGCTAGACAATGGCACCCTGACTGCCATTAGGTATCGGGATGAAATCCTTGGACCCATTATCAGACCCTACGCTGGTGCAGTGGGTTCTGGGTTCCTCCTGGTGCATGGAAATGCCCGGCCTCATGTGGTGAGAGTATGCAGGCAGTTCCTGGAGGATGAAGGAATTGATACCATTGAATGGCCCCCACACTCGCCTGACCAAAATCCAATAGAACACCTCTGTGATATCATGTTACAGTCCATCTGACGCCGCCAGGTTGCACCTCAGACTGTCCAGGAGCTCAGTGATGCCCTGGTCCAGATCTGGGAGAAAATCCCCCAGGACACCATCCGTTGTCTCATTAGGAGCATGCCCCAAGGGGCATGCATACAAGCGTGTGGGGGCCATACAAACTACTGTAGACCATTCTGAGTTGCTGCAATGAAATTTCAGCAAAATGGATTCGCCTGCTGCATTATCTTTTCACTTTGATTCTCGGGGTGTCTTTGAATTCAGTCCTCTGTAGGTCGATAATTTTCATTTCCATCAAACAATGAGGCATACTTACATTCCTAACACATTACCCCGTCCATATCAGTATAGAGATCCAGCAGGAGATTTTTCCCCATTGAGATCTGTTGTGTTTTCAAAGTCTTCCTTTTCATTTTTTTTTATTTATTCGTACTGTCAATAAAATACATTTTAAACAAAAGTAAAATATGCCATAAATCAGACTAATCAACACAAAGGACAGGAGAGCATAGTACAGGGGGGAGGCAAGGAGCACAGTAAAGCAAGGACAGGACAGCATAGTACAGGGGGGGAGGCTGGAGGGCACAGTACAGGGGGGAGGCAGGGGATTACAGTACACAGGGGGGAGGATCACAGTACAGGAGGGAGGCAGAGGATCACAGTACAGGAGGGAGGCAGGAGGGCACAGTACAGGAGGGAGGCAGAGGATCACAGTACAGGAGGGAGGCAGGAGGGCACAGTACAGGAGGGAGGCAGGAGGGCACAGTACAGGAGGGAGGCAGGAGGGCACAGTACAGGAGGGAGGCAGGGGGCACAGCACAGTATTCAGAGACAGGGCTTAGTCGTTGTAGTCTTACCCTTAAAAGACTGAAAAACCATCCTTTGTACTGCAGTTAGCTGAAGTAAAAGTGTTTGGATTCTACTTCTTGTGTTTTTTTTTTGGTTTTTTTTTTATGAAGAGGAGTTGAGCTGTCTGTGGAAGGTGCTTACCATACTGTCCAGACAGACTGGGTTTATGGAGTTATGTCAATGCACAAAGTGGCATTTGAAACAGAACACTTGTGCTTCATTGAGCACTACTAGCCCCTCTGTCATGGGTGGCTCTTCTAGTTTTTTTCCATTTACAGATCCTTGTGAATGGAAAAGATGATTGTGCATGCCTGGCAAACTGCAATATGTTTTATCATTTTTCTTGCGTGTAGATACATTTGAAGGGTGGATCAGATGCGTAGACAGTATACATTTAAGGTATAGTGCCATTTGTCTGGTCCCTTCAGCACATACAACTGTTATGAGATGAGAGGGGACTCTGTTATCTCTGATTGCCTGTAGGCGACTTGTATGATACATCTCCCTAAGACACTGTTGTGTATTTATTTAAAGGGTCCCTGCAATTTTAGTGTCACTGCCTCTCCACCCTCAAGACCTAAATTTTCACTTTTTTTACATTTGAAGGTCAAGGAAGCAGAGATGGGGAAGACAAAGGTCTCTGTGTCCCACGTCATTGATGACAATACTCTGAGGACCAAATTTGGCCTTTTCAAAAAAGAGAAGATCGTTCTTAACAGACTTCCTCTACTCCGCCCTGAGAGCAGATCCACAAGTCAGAACAAAGACCTGATGGTGAGTAGCGCTTCTTTCCCAGCACCTTCATACACATTTCAGGAAACTGCAGTTGGGGCTTATTCATGTGTTTTCCTGGTCATGTGATCCTGCAGCTCCAGGAGCACTTGACAGCGGTCGTAAAACTCCACAAGCTGTGATTGTACCCATAGGCTCCCATGGCCCAGCCATTGTTGGCTCTCCCTTCTTTCCCCTGCAGCAGTCACTCACAGACAGGGGAGTTGGAGCTGTGGGATCACATGACTGGAGCAGAGCCGATTAAAAGTAGGTAAGTACTCATATCTTTTTATACAGGTTAGACAGGTAGATTGGAGGAGGGAACATTTTTAAGTTTAAGTTTTTCTTCCACTATAGGCCTCTTTCATGCAGCCAGTTACCTGTGGCCACTGGATTTCAGAGGCAAGAATAAGCAGCTTCTTGCAGCTGGAGTGATCAAGGCATGCAATTAGCACCATTTAAACTAATGGCTGGTTGACAGTGGCTGCTGCTGTTCACATGTAGAAACACACAGAGTGGATAACTGCAGTTATGGATGGATGTATAAGCTGCATCCAGGCTCTGACATCTGTCCCTAACCGCAGCTATCCTCTTTGTGTGGCTACATGCAAACAGCTGACTATATCCAGGCTCGGACGTCTATCTGTAACCGTAGCTCTCTGCTCTGTGTGTGGCTACATGCAAACAGCAGCTAAACGCATGCAGTCATTCCAGCCACAAGAATACACCACTTCTTGCCACTGTAATCCACTGGTTGCAGGTAACCGGCCATGTGATTGTCTCTGCTTAAAATAATGACAGCTGATGTTGAACTGGAGCATTGAATCTTGTGCTGTCATATGTTTTCATGCGTGCACGTCCTTTGAACAGGAGGACGGGGGCACTTAATTTTTATTAATTGTTTTATATATATTAGTGATTTTTTTTTTTTAACACTTTTATTGCTGTCACAAGGAATGTAAACATCCTTGTGACAGGTACTGTTCGTGGAGGTATCTGGGGTCTATAAGACCTCATATCCCTCCTCTGCGCTTAAAAGCATTCAAAACACACCAAGATGGTGCTGTTGACATCTGGGGCGCTTCTGAGTTACCATAGCAGAGAGGCAATCAAAGCTGATGCCGGCTTTGTTCGACTGTCCGACCAGTCGGTGGACACGCCCGCTGCTTGCTCGGGTCTCCCAGTGGGACAGGAGATCCTGAACAAGCCGCAGAAGGTCGGTGGGAGGGTGGGGACATTTCCCTCCCACTGCTCATAATAGCAATCAAGTGGCTGGTCAGCTGTTCCACTTGCTTGTGCTAGAGGGCTGACTGTCGCCTCTAAAAAATGGTACCAGGGTGATGCCTGCAGCTGCAGGCATCATCCTGGTACAACCACTTGACATACCAAGTACGTGACTGGTCGGCAAGTGGTTAATTTCATGAAAGCCGCAGATTTAAACATATATTAAACATCTGAAAATTGTTAAAGCTTCTATGAGATTTTAGTGATTGGGGTTACATCTAGGGGATGAGACCGTGCACACCACTAGCTCAACAGGTAGGAAGGAATGTGAAGGGCCTCAGCTTTGAGCTCCTCCTCAGCCTTGAACTCCTCTTGAGCCTAGGTCGATGCATTTCACCCCACACACCGTGGCGAGGCTCAGAAGGAGTTCAAGCCTGAGGCCGTTCATATTCCTTCCTACCTGTTGAGCTAGCCATATGCGGTGTCTCTCATCCCCCCATACTTCATGGCTTTCTGAATCAAGCACAAGACAGCCCGCACCCTTGCGTTGCTGAGAGACACCGCATTTTCTTTCCAGCAGAGCACCTTGAGCAGCACTGCAAGTGATTACTGAGTATTGTGGGTTTACATCTTCTTTAGTCTCAGTTCACACTACTGTGACCTGAAAGTCATTCGTCTTACACTGTGACTTTGCCAGGAGATTTCCTGCCGACTTGAGTACTACTTTGATGTGACTTTGAAGCAACTTTCAGGGAATGCCTGGGTAAACTTCCTGTAATGTTGGATCCACATCACATCAATATAGATGAGGATCCGACTTGGAGGCGACTTCCATTAAAGTCTATGGGCACAAGTTGGATAGAAGTCGCTTGAAGTACTACAGGAACCTTTTCTAAAGTCGGAGCGACTTCAATAGTGCTAATTAAGACAGCTTTCAGTGACTAACATGAGATTTCACATGTCATGTGACTTGGGGTCTCACAAGTCGGATCACAAGTCGTGGCAGTGTGAACTGAGCCTTAAGGTGGGAATGCACGATTAGAAAATCGACCAATTGGTCATCCGAAGACCGAGAGGCGTTCGTTCGTTGGTCGAAATCGTGGCCCACATTAACCAATCTAAAAAAAATCGTTCGGGCAATATGTAACGTTGACGTCTTCCGTACAAGTGGAAGTGATCCGCTGTGCGTGTGACCTTGCAGCCATGCCCTTCCGGCCAGAACGAGCGATATACACAACAATTACCAGCAATGAGTATAATATCATTTATTACATGACCTATATACATAAATCGTGATACATAAAATATAATCTGCAGAATTCTGGTTTCATTATCTCATTAGGCCAATCTACTTTTAACATTTGTATTTTTCGTTCGTGTTTACGAAGATTCCTTGGACATAAACATCCGAGTCATCTTCTGTTTCCGCTCATGTGTGATAGCGCTTGATAGATTTTTTTTCGTACGACTGTCATACCACCGCATAGAAAATCGGTCGTTCGTATGCAAAACGACAACATTTTTCATTGTTGTTAGAGCGGATTTTTTTCGTTCACAATATCGTTATCGGTTAAAACATCCTGCTCATCAATGAAGAGAGAATTGTTTGATCAGTGCTTCCGCAAAATTTTTAGTATGATTTTCTTAGTGTGTATGGGGCATTAGTATACTTTTGCAGGTTTGTTTTTTTTTTTTCACAGATTTTACCTCAGAATAGAAAAGATCACAGGAGACTGGTAACTCATTTCTCTACAAATTCCAACTAGTGTTTTTTTTTTTTCCCCACTTTTTGTGTAAGCCTACATTCACACTAATGCGGCGTATGAGCGTGCACAAAATCGTGCAATTCTGCCCATGATGACAAGACATAAAAAAATGAGTGCCTTGCTTAAAGTGCTATTTGTTGTTAATGGCATTCTAAATGAGCAAAGCAAGAAGTGTGGTTTCGAGTATGCAGGAACACATGGTTAAAAAACGTTCAAAGCTTGAAGTTCAAAAAGGTGAATTAACTTTTGTCAGGTGCGATTTCAATTGTCATACACTTTCACAATTCAAATCTGAACAAAGTTGCTCCGGAGGGGGCAGAAAAACAGGCTGGCTGGCTGGCTGTCATTTCCAGCCTAAACCCATGCTTGGACCCTCCAGAGCAGCTGTTCTAGTGCCATTTTAAAACAACCCCTGGGACCCAATTAGTTAAATAAGTTCACCTTTGGAACATGTTACATGTTCCACCCGTTTTTAAGGTGGAACATGTAACATGTTCCCATAGCCTCATCCGCGCCTGTGGGCCCCCCCTCCCTCTGACAGATAGTATAGGGGGAGGTTTCCCCATACTATCTGTCAGATTTGAAAACAGCGCAGCCGTGTCACTCATTCAGTGTTCTGTGATCGAGTGCCTACAAGTCCTGACAACCTTAGTGGCTGTCGGCTTGTAGTTCTCAGTGAACTACCACGGTGCTGTGGAGCGCCATGGTAGTTCAGTGAAGCTTCCTGTCAGAATATCTGCTTGCCATACGAGGTGTACAAGCAAGCAGACATACTGACAGGTCTGCAGGAGACCTGCATGGCATCAATAATATACTGATCACTGGTGCAGTGCTTTCCAGGCTCCTTTGGACAAAAATAATAAATGCACTTTTTTTTTTTTTTTTTTTTTTTTAACCTGCGTGTTTTTCTGCCCCCTTCGGAGCAACTTTGTTCAGATTTGAATTGTGAAAGTGTATGACAATTGAAATCGCACCTGAACCGAGCTCAAAATTGCACAGGACTCTTTTTGTAAAAGGTACTTCTGCTGTCCCAGGTATGTGAACCGGCTCCAGGGAGAAGACTGCTGGTTCACATATCATGCGAATCGGACACGGTTCAAAGTGCATCCAACTCACATGTATGTGAACCGACACGTAAAAGAGAAGTTTTAGGTTTTTGTTTTTTTTCTAGAAATTATACTTACCTGGGTACGTGTAGCATCAGTCCGATGTTGCTTATCTATGAGTACCTGTCCCACCAGCTCAGCTCTGTTCCTTCCCATTCTTGTTTTTCATAACCACAGAGAGGAAAGGTGGTAATGCTGCTGGGAGAAAGGGATTGTGTGCCTTCTGGTGGTCAGAGGGTGGCAGTGCAGGTTGTGCTGTTTCACTCTACCAGCCACTAACCCCCCATCCCCCCCCACCCGCCATCCAAGAGTTGGGGGCCCCTGCCTAGAGAATATTACTTGAGCACCAGGAGGGAGGTGTGTGAGTATGCTTTTTTTTTTTTATTTTTTTTTTTTTTTTTATTTTGGTACAACCCAACTATACAGATAAGAGGGAGCAAATAGGGGTGGGGTGAGGGTTCCTCTGTAAGTCCTGCTTTTGTCCTGTATTCTGTGGCACTCGTGCAGTGTATAGTTCTATGGCAGACTGCCGTACCTGTGTTTTTTTTTATTATACTCTAATTTTGTCTTGTAACCTCTTAAACAGGCATATACTGAAACTCCGGAGAGAAGAAAGTTACCATTTTCAGAGACATCCAGCATTTCAAAGCGCAGGAAAAGTGCAGACGCATATGACTTCAGTATGACTTCTGACACAGCTGGAAATAACTGTAGGTCATTTTCTACAACAGCTACACCTGTCCCTGCCGGCTCCTCAGACGTAACGCACACAATGTCCAGAGAAGGGACATACTCTTCCCTGGCATTGACTGAAACAAAGACGGCCTACGGGAATCTGAGCACGTCACACCTTGCCCAGGACAGTGCTCCAGAAATGTATACAGACCCCTCAGACAGCCATTCCTTCTATGTCAGTCAGGACATCACTGGACATTTCAGTGAAGCTCCTCCGCCGAGACAGAGGTTTCACTTTGAGTCTGTGTATCCTGATGAAACAACCAAGGATGAAAAAATCCAACGTCTGAAGGAGGTATTGAAGGAGCGGGAGCAGGCTCTGGAGGCTTTAAGAAGACAGAAGTGGTCATAAATAATTAAAACATTTTGCCCCCTTTTCCCTGATCTAACCTAACCCACTTGCCCCCTCCACAGATGCACACTTGCCTTAATCTGACAGCCGCATCCTCATCCATGTTTGTTTGCAGCCAGCGCTGCATATGGGTCCAGGTCTAGCATATTTGATCTGGGGGTGCAGTAAAATAAATTCAGGAAGCATAAAGTCAATAGTGTGACAAAGATGCATGGAACCAGTATTCCCTGTTCACTCGGCACGCTTCTGTACCACAACCTGGAAGTAACACCTGACAGGTAATAGAGGCAGCGCAGGAGTGAACAGAGAACGATAGTATAATGTCATGAGATTAGGATGAATAAACAGAACCTGTGTTCCCCTATATCAGGTGTCCCTATCAGAGTCCCCCTTTGCATCAGGTGTCCTCATCAGGGTACCCCCTAACATAAAATGTCCATATTAGAGTGCACCCTTACATCAACCCTCCTCTTCAAAGTGGCCCCTTAAATCACCTGTCCCGAGTCCACCATTCCCCCCCCCCCCCCCGTATATCAACTGTCCCCATCAAGTCTCATGGATTAGTGGCTGAATTATCAGAGATCTGGGGGGGGACAACTAAAATCTGGTGGGCATAGCCCACCCCAGCACCCCCCTAGGTCTAGGCCTGACTGCAAGTCTCACTATCCTGACTGCTCCTTTGCATTACAGTCCTATGGGATCGTCTCAAAGCTTCATGCCTCCCTTAGAAGCCTATGGCACTGTATTGTGCGGCCAGGATGATAACATATATCTGAGGCCACAGCTGTCAGATCAGGGGAAGATGCATCTGTGAAAGGGAAGGAGGGTTAGGTTAGGTCAAGGGTAGGGGTAGAAGGGGTACGTGCATTATGTTTTACAGTTATTGCTTATCCTTCTAAATATTTTTAAGTAACACCTCTAAAATTGTCTGTACGTTTTATTTGTATCATTCTGCACCAAGCTGTCCTGTCCAGTGGTGCAGCTGGAGTTATATTTTTACTTCATTTTCACTTTACAGATGTGTGCTTTTAAAGCCAGAGAGCCATGATAGGACATGTGCACAGATCTGAATATTCATACGTAAATGACTAGGTATGAATATTACAGGCACAGAAAACCCCTCATACTAGGGGCTCTGCTCTTTTTAGCTACCTAGGTTATACTAAGTGCTTTGCTCCTTATGGATCCCATTGTTATACTAGGAGATTTGCTGTTATGGCTCCCCTCCTTTTATATTAGGGGCTTTGCTCCTTGTGGCTCCCCTCGTTATAAAAGGAGCCTTGCTCCTTATGGCTCCCCTAGTTATATAAGGGGCTTTGCTCCTTATGGCTCCCCTAGTTATATATAGAAGGGCTTTGCTCCTTATGGCTCCCCTAGTTATAGAAGGGGCTTTGCTCCTTATGGCTCCCCTAGTTATAGAAGGGTCTTTGCTCCTTATGGCTCCCCTAGTTATAGAAGGGGCTTTGCTCCTTGTGGTTCCCCTCGTTAAAAAAGGAGCCTTGCTCCTTATGGCTCCCCTAGTTATAGAAGGGGCTTTGCTCCTTGTGGTTCCCCTCGTTATATAAGGGGCTTTGCTCCTTATGGCTCCTCTCATTCTTTTAGGGGCTTTGCTCCTCATGACTCCATTAGCCATTATTTATATAGAAAAGTAGTATTTGTTCTCACTAAACAGTTACTGTTTAGATATCCACTGATTTTGAGTATGAATATAACCTGAAGGAGAGTCAAAAACCTCGGCAGCGTGGTCAGACTGACTTGGAGGGCCGGTTCACACCCTAGAAACGCAGTTTGGATGCGTCTCTGCATGCTTGTTTTTAATGCGTTCCGGTGCATTTTTTCCTCTTTTTTTTCTTCTCCTTAAATAAGAACATGTGCGGTTTGCTGCAGAAGAAATTCATCATGTTCTCCTTTTTTCTTTTTTTCTGGAACTGACCGCACTGGTGTGAACTATGTTGTTGAAAACCATATAACTTTCCATGCATTCTTGATGCAGAAAAAAAAATGCTCTAGATTGCATGTGGTGTGAACCAACCCAGAGACCTTAGGTGCAGCGCTGCTTAGACAATGAGAAGTTTCATAATTTTGCATAATTTTTTTTTTTTTTTTTTTAAATGAGTTGAGAGTTGACTTTCACCCCGGTGTAGATTGGCCTTGTCTAGTTATATTTGGCTTAAGTGTGTGCATGCATCTTTGTACGTTGCTTCTGTCACGTGTGCTGGAATAATAGTGGATGATGGAAGAGAGACATACGTAAACCTGAACAAAATAACATTCTCTTACTTGCCCCCTTTTTTGTTTGTTAAAGTGGGTTTAAAGCAGAATTCCAGGACATTTTGGGTTTTTTTTCTTGCCTATTCAGTGAGGCTGTGCCAGCACTGCATGGGTTAAATGCTCCTTTTGCTCTAGGGGAGAGGACAGCAAAGATATAATCACCTGACCCATGGATTTTCCATGCACAAGACCTTTCCTATCAGCTCCCGCCCCATCACAGTCCAGCGGTCTTGTAAATGGACTGTTCCTGACGTCAGCATGCTCAATGCATGCTCCATAGACTTGAACAGTCCACTGCTGGACCATGGAGGAACGCGGGTTCCCGTAGGATCAGCGGGTCACATGAGTATGAGCTTTGTCCTCACCCCTAGAAAAAACAAGCAGCTGATCCATGCAGTGGGGGCACAGCCCCACTGCATGAAAAAAAAAAACAATTTTGACCAGAGTTCTACTTTAAACCTCTAACATTAATAATTAAAACACATTCCTTCTATAGTGTGTTCTAGCCTCCATTCAAAGCACCTAGTGTGATTTCTTTCTCCTTCTGCTTTCTGCATGAGTCTGACACCAAGCAATCTGAGAGGCCTCCTCTCCAGCACACAGCAGGTTGCAGAGTCTCAGCTGTGCATGTTTCCCTAGGAGGCTGTGTAGAAGGGGGTGCGTTCTTTCCTTCCACTCAGGTCTCAAAATGCACTTAGCTTACTTTGTAGTGTGCCGTGTGTGATGTCAGATCCCTGCTGCATGCCTTCTGAAGCTCAGAATTTTTGTGTAAATTCTGGACTTTGAACAGATGTAAAGAAGAGAAGACTGCAGATAAACAGGTACAACTTATGTAGGAGGATTTGTTTCATCTCTGTGTATCACCTGAGGACAGTCACTTCACTGGGTTTATGTAAGAGCTTACAACCAGTGCTGGGACAAGGTCATCTAGCGCCCAGGGTGAAAATACCAAATGGTGCCCCCCCCCCCCTCCCCTCCAAAATGTGTGAGAATTATGTGTCAGCAAAAATCCCCTTCCTCCCCCTTCAGAAAAATGTGAGCTCTAATCTTCACACTTACCCCCTAAGCATGAACTCCCTTTGCAAGCCTAACTTCTCTCCAAACTAAAATTCTCCCTCTCCCTAGCACAAATATTTTACTCCTTAAATTTCCCCTCTAAGTATAAATCCCCCTCTCCCTGCACAAATACTCTACCCCTCAAATGTACCCTCTGAGCATAAATCCTCCCCAATCCCTCCAAATCCCCCTCTCCCTGCACAAATACTCTACCCCTTAAATTTACCCTCTGAGCATAAATCCTCCCCCACCCCTCCAAATCCCCCTCTCCCTGCACAAGTTAACCCACCCCAGATCACCCCTCCTAACAAAAATTCCCCCACCCCAGCCATCCCTACTAGCACAAATCCCCCTTCCAAACACAAATCCCCCCCCCTTCCTCTCCAGATCACCTCTTCTAGCACAACCCCACAAATTCCCACCGCGCCCAGGGCAGCCGTCCCTCCTGCCCACCCCTTGTCCTAGCCCTGTTGGCCCGGACAAACATTTGTGAGCTGATAATTTATTATGTATCTATTACATTTTGCCCAGCTCTTTCTGAGGATAACAGAACATCTGCCAACTCTATTATGGGGGGTTCTGTAGTCCTAACACTCTTCCTGTTCTGGGGTGACAACACTGCTCTTCCATAGATACAGTACAGGGAGTGTCACCCTTGGAAAGGAAGTTTGTTCCTAGCAGGATCACTAGGTAAAAATAAAGGAAAAAAAATAGAACTAATGTAGCCACCCCACATCTAAGAACTGGTAAGCTGCATTATAATAGGATTTTTGTTTTTCGGTTGCTTGTACATAGAATAGCTTTTCTACCTTGAGGATCTCTGCTCCCCACAGCCAATAGATACAAGCAGGAAGAGCGGTGTGTAATGTGTGTCAGAGCTCATATGGACATCCACGTGCACAGACAGGCTCTTGGCTGATGAATGTGGGTCTTTGAAGTGTGTTATAGATAGGTGAAAGACAGAGAGAGACCAGGTAGAGATCTGTGACAAAAAGATTTTTTTTTTTTTAATTTAAATATTGTAATATCTGTTAGAATCTCGCTCCATTGCATTTGTATTTCAACATTGCATCATTTTTGTTCTTTGCTGCTTTTGGTATTGGAACATAACCATAAATGTTTTCTGCTTTTAACTACTGGCCTGTATTGTGTTTATTTCTGGAAATATGACCTGAAGGAGCAATTTAAAAAAACAGATAAGGGGGCTTCATAGTATTTTAAAGTGATTCTATACTTGTTTATTATTATATTGAAGAAAAAAAAAAAAATTATAGTTACGTGTTCTGTGTAATGGTTTTGCACAGAGCAGCCCCGATTCTCTTCTTCTGCGGTCCCACACCAGCACTCCTTGCTCATCCTCTTCGTCTTGCCATGGGAGCCCCACGCCCTCCTCATAGGCTGTGATTGACCTGGTACATCATTGGACTTCAAGTGGTTGTACCAGGGTGATGCCTGATCACGCCAGTTCAGTTTTTTAGAGCCGGCAGTCTCCTCTCTTGCAAAAGTAATTAGAGCAGCTAACTAGCCTCTTGCTTGCTTTTACAAGCAGTGTGACTGGACATATGTCTCGCTCCCACCACATTCCGTGGCACTGTTGGGCTCTCCAGTCTCACTGGGACATCCCCAGTGACACCAATACAGTGATTAGTGCTAAAAAAAAAAAAAAAAAAAAA